CCCGCCACAACGCCTGGCTGTTTTTTGGTTACAGCTATCATTGTTGTTTGGTGGGCTGGGCTGGATTTGAACCCGCCACCTTAGGTCTATGTGGCTGGCGCCTTAGCCACTTGAGCCACAGGTGCCGAGCCTATGTAAGCAATTTGTAATAATTCTTTCAATTAATTCCCACAATGGCCCTATGGATAAGCACTATTCTTACTCTTACTTTATGGATGCAAAAACTGAGACTCACGCTAAGTAATTTCATAGAACCAGGATTATAACTCATCTTTGTTCCTACCACTATGTCTTAGCTTTTTTTTTTTGAGACAGAGTGTTGCCCTTGGTAGAGTGCCATGGCATCACAGTTCACAGCAATCTCAAAGTCTTGGGCTCAAGTGATTCTCTTTCCTTAGCCTCCCACCTAGCTGGGACTATAGGTGCCCACCACAACGCCTGGCTATTTTTTGGTCATAGTTATCATTGTTGTTTGGTAGGCCCGGGCTCGGTTCGAACCAACCAGCTCCAGTGCATATGGCTGGTGCCCTAGCTGCTGAGCTACAAGCACCGAGCCCTTTTTTTTTTTTTTTTGAGACAGAGTCTCACTCTGTTGCCTGCCCCAGGTTAGAGTGCTGTGGCAATCAGCCTAGCTCACAGCAATCTCAAACTCCTGAGTTCAAGCCATCCTCTGCCTCAGCCTCCCCAGTAGCTGGGACTACAGGCACCTGCCACAATGCCCAGCTAATTTTTTCTTTTTTTTTTGAGATAGAGCCTCAAGCTGTCCCCCTGGGTAGAGTGCCATGGCATCACGCTCACAGCAACCTCCAACTCCCGGGCTCAAGCGAGTCTCCTGCCTCCACCTCCCAAGTAGCTGAGACTACAGGCACCCGCCACAATGCCTGGCCATTTTTTGGTTGCAGCCATCATTGTTGTTTGGCGGGCCTGGGCATTTTTTCTATATTTAGTGAGACATGGTCTTGGTCTTGGTTAGGCTGGTCTCAAACTCTTGAGCTTAAGGGATCCTCCTGCCTCAATCTTGCAGAATGCTAGGATTATAGACAGGTGCCACTGCATCTGGCCTGTCACTATGCCTTATACCCTCAATGAACAGAACAAACCAATTGTTTTCCTTTTTTGTAGAGTCAGAGTCTCAGTTTATCGTCCTCAGTAGAGTGCTGTGGTGTCACACAGCTCACAGCAACTTCCAACTCCTGGGCTTAGGCGATTCTCTTGCCTCAGCCTCCCAAGCAGCTGAGACCACCTCCCAAGCAGCTGGGACTACAGGCATGCACCACAATGCCCAGCTATTTTTTGTTGCAGTTTGGCCAGGGCCGGGTTTGAAACCACCACCCTCAGTAGATGGGGCCGGTACCCTACCCACTAAGCCACAGGCGCCGCCTGGAAACAAACCAATTTTTAAGAGGTCTAAAGAAACTCCATTTTTATCTTCAAGCCTCAACTCCACAGCCTCAAAGGAAAGGGTCGGGCTCAGGCTGCCAGAAAGGTCCCTAGTGCAGCATTCACCACCATACCAAGCATATTTTGGCATGTGAACAAATTCTAAATGGAATTTTCTTTTTTTGTAGAGACAGAGTCGCACTTTGTTGCTCTTGCTAGAGTGCTGTGGTGTCACACAGCTCACAGCAACCTTCACCTACTGGGCTTAAGTGAGTCTCTTGCCTCAGCCTCCTGAGTAGCTGGGACTATCAGTGCCTGCCACAATGCCCACCTATTTTTTGGTTGCAGTTTGGCAGGGGCTGGGTTTGAACCCACCACTCTCGGTATATGGGCCAGCGCCCTACTCACTGAGCCACAGGCACCACCTCTAAATGGAATTTTTTAGGCAAAGCACTGGGAGGCAAAGAGTAGATTTTTTTTTTTTTT